CCCCCGCCCCAGGCCCCAGCACAGCCCTGCCCGCACCCTGATTTTGGATTTCAAGCCCCCCCAGGGCTGTGAAGAGATAAATTTCTATTGTGTGAAGCCACCTAATTTGAGGTCGTGTCTGTGGAAGGCCTCGGTGACTCACACAGCATCCACCACGTTGGATGGTGGCGGGAGGGGCCGTGAGGAATAGAGGGGGCGGGGTCTGGAGGCTGGGCCACTCTCTGTTCCTTAATTCGTTTATGAGAACTTTTCTTCGGTTGCATTAAAATCAGGTACAAAACCCAATGGGGAAAAAGTTGTCTAATGACGTTGCCAAAAAAAACCCCACAAAAAACAAACCACAAAGTATGTTCATGTTATATAATATGAATAGAAAACTAGAGGTTTCAAAGCCGTCTGAAGGCTAGAATCTCAACTGTTAAAAATATGTAACTGACGCGTTTGTCCATTTCACAAACATTTGTTGAGCACTTACTATGCGCCGGGTACATCTCATTTGTAGGTAAGGACGCGTGGGGGGGGGGAGACAAAACTGGGGAAAATGCAGCCTAATCGGAGCAACGTCCGTCCTTGGGTGGTGGAAGCGAGGGTGACATCTGGTTTTTTGCTGCTTGGTGTTCGCCTACATTTTCAAACCGCCACACGCTTCCGTTGCTCTGGTCACGATACAGACCAGCGAAGGCTTGTTTTGCTCACTGATGAGACTTAAACGAATCGGGTCCTTCATCTACTTTTCCAGCAGGGCCGTGGCTGGAGTCCCAGGTGAAGGGGACCCTCCGAGTGTCCCCCGCCTGGGCGAGTTGGGGCTGGCAGGCCCTGGGGCGGCTGCATCCTCCCCCTCCAGCCCCCCTCCCCCAAATGTCCAGCCCGCACCCACCTGGTGATGTTGGACAGCGTGACCAGCCTGCCTGCCTCCACCGCCGCGTGGAAACAGTGGGCCCCGCGGGTCTCCACGGCGACAATGGGCACGTGCTGCCAGCCCACCTCCGCCAGGCCTGCTGACACCCCGGCCAGGAGCCCCCCACCCCCCACCGCCAGCACCAGGGCCCCCGGAGGGCTCCCCAGGGCTGCCTTCAGCTCCCGCACCAGGCTGGCGTGGCCTTCCCTGGGGGGCAGGGAAATGGGGGGGGAGCCGGGTGAGGGGGACCCTCAGCTCCAAAGGCTCCCGTGTACACAAACTCCCTCACGGCCACCCCCTCCCCACCCGCAGCTAAGGGAGGGGAGCCCCTGTCGTGCTTGGTTCACTCCGCTTTCGTCATTGAATTCATTCATCCACTGGTCACCCCCCCCCGCCCCTGGGGCCAGCATAGCACCTGGAACCCTATCAACTCAAGTTCTTGACCTTGGGCCTCACGTCTCTGCCACTTACTAGCTGTGTGATCTCAAGCAAGTTGCTCGGCCCCTTGGTGCATCAATTTCCTCCCCTGTCAAACGGGCATAAAGCACCCACCTCTAGGGCTTCAGGGCGGAATCACTGGGCTGAATGTGCTCCATTAAGGACACGCTGCATAAAGGGGACTTACTATTAGCGTTTCCCTTTTACACATGGGGAAACTGAGGCACGAGGCGGTGCGATGCTTTACAGTCACACAACTCACAAGTGGCGGAGGCGGGGTCTGACCCCAGTGTGCCCGGACTCTATGCCTCTTCTACTCTCCGGGCTTCAGTTTCCCCGTTTATCCAAAGGGAGGACCCCTGATTCAATGAGGGTTTCTCAACTCTGAGCTCCCTGGGGGGGAGGGTCCCCAGCCTTACCATATCAGAGGGTGGTCGAACGGGGGCACGTTCACCCAGCCGTCCCTCTTGGCCAACTCTTGTGCCCTCAGATTGGCCTCGTCCCAGACCTAAAGGGAAACAGAGGTCGGAAGACCCGGCAGTCAGCTCCTGGGAACCCAAACTAACAGCATTTCAGGAGGACCCCCTCCAGCCATCCCCTCTCCTAAGGGGTACAGGGGGACAAGGGGGCCCCAAACAGCCCCTTCCCATTCCTCTGGCACCCCACAGTGCCCGCTCTGGGCCTCGTCCTGTGCCAGGGGCAGCTGGAGGAGACAAAGAAATGGTCTCTGCCCATGTGGCATCCCCCGCCCACGTGGCACCCCGCCCACGTGGCACCCCACCCACGTGGCATTCCCCGCCCACGTGGCATCCCCGCCCACGTGGCACCCCATCTAGCCGGAGGGATGGGCGTCTTTCTCTTGAAACATTGAAACAAACACGGGCTTTGAAGCCGAGCTGCCCTTAGCGTCTCCCTGGACGCCTTGATGTCTCTCTCTGTCTCCCCCACACACACTGTCTCTAAAAATCAATGGAACAAGTATCCTCGGGTGAGGATTACAAAGGCAACGGGGACGGTCTCGGGGTGGGGAGGCGTGGAGGGGATCGGCCCTGCCCTTGGCGCCCCCTTCCCGGGCCTCACCTTGCCACTCAGCTGAACCTCGGCGCCCTCCCCCTGCAGCCTCCGCACCACCCGCTGGGAGGCGCCCTCGGGGAGCACGATGGTGGCCGGGACGCCCAGCTTCCGAGCGCAGTAGGCGGCCGCGATGCCCGCGTTGCCCCCTGTGCGGGAGCAGAAGGGGGCGCGGCGGGCCCTGTTGGCAAACTTTCTCCCTCCCCCTCCCTTTCCCCTGTGAGTCGCCCCCTCCCCACATGCCTATGCCCCCCCTTGAGTCCCCTCCCTGGCCTCAGGTGGACGCATGATGGAGATGGAGCCAGTCAGAGGACTCAGTCGCCTGACCCTTGATGGGTTCAGGGCTGAGCGCATGACCCAAGCTGGGCCCAAAGGACCAATGCATGGGTGCGGGAGAGCCGTCGGGAGGGTGCTCCCTTGGCACTGGGGTAGGGAGGACGGCAGGAAGCAAGCCTGAAACTCCTCAGGCCCACTGTGCTACCATGAGGCCTGTATGAGGAGAAAGCTGCTGTAGGGGGAGGAAAAGCCAAGAGAGAGGAGGGACGCAGGTGGGAGCTCCTGGATCCAGCTGTGCCTGAAAGCCATGCATCTCGAGAATTTCCAGTGCTCGGAGCCCACAGCTTACATCTGTATGAATACTCGGGGTTCGGTGGCTTCTACTAGGGGTCCTGAATAACGGGAACGGGGCTGGGAGAGGGCACACGAGATGGCCACCTGACCATGACCCTGATGAGGCTGGACCCTTAAGAGGAGGCCGAGCCCTGGACTCGCTGCTGCTC